ACCAAAATCAAGAATCAGATGCTTAACTGATGGAGCCACCCAGGCACCCCAATCATAGTTAAATTTTTGATGACTACAAAAACACTAAGAAAACATATGTTTACCTAGAATGTATGATCTGATCGCATTTATGTGTATGTGCTTTACCTTACAGGCACAAAGAAATTAAAAGAGAACCAAATAGCATGTTTATTTATTTTGTAGGGATGATCAAGGCAAACTGTCAAGGGGGAGATAATTTGCAGAATAATGCATAGTATGTAAGGTTATTTAAGAATAATTAAATCAATAAAACCCCTTATTGAAGTTTATATACGTTTGCATGTTTGTACAAGGAAGGCAGAAGTGGTAAAATGTACCACTGATTATTTAGGACAAAGCTACAGAGGAAGAGCAGAAAGATCATTACCCTTGTCTTAGTCCATTTTTCTTTCTAAATTTGAAATACCCTTTACCTCTACATGATACATAGGTAATCTAAAAAGAAAAAGAAATTTGCCAGTTAGAAGAAAAAAGAGAGAACTTATAGGCAGAGCAAGGAAGAGCTAAAGGTATAGGAACTTAGCAGGTTTCAGACCAGATCTAGGTTTTCAATGCCCATATAATAGAGATGACACGGGACCTATAATAACAACTCCTACATTAATCCTGGAGTCTCAAAATGGTCACAGCCTTCACAGACTAAAAGTATTACAACCCAAAGACCCAGAAATGCAGTTAGAGAATTGTATGTTTGGTCAGGACCTTGAGTGCTAGACAAAAGGGAAAAGTTAGCAGAGAAATTGAAATTCTGGACTGTGTCTCACACGTTTTGGAATTAAATGTTGCCAATGTTGTGTGAAATGGAAACCACGCACTCAGAAACTGAAAAGAAGGTCTACAACCATTGAAACCCTTGGGGACCCAAGAGTAAGAAATTCAGTATGGCCCTGGAGTGGACTTTTGCTTCCAACCCAGATGGATTAACAGGAATCTGATTTAATCTGCTCAAAGCAGCTAAAACAAACAAACATAATACATGAAACAACAGTTTTCAAAACATTATAAATCCGGCAACCAAAGACGGTGATCCCCAAGAGATGAGAAATAACCAATATGAGCTCTATGGCCATCCACCTCACTACCTGGAGGGAGGCCATGATGGGGCCCAGGAGAGGAGACCCAGGCAGAGCATGGTGAGCTCCCTGATGTCAGAGTTCAAGTTGGAAATATAAGAAGTGAAAGAAGGATGCTTGTAGATACTTTTCTACTGGCCACAAGGAGGCATTATGGTGTCACTGATAGCCAAAAATTGTAGAGAATGTTTTTGGCATTCTATGAAGTGTGGATATAAACAGAGGATTGCAGGGCTTGACTTCTGTATTAAGAAGAGGATAGTTTGTTATCAACAATAGCCAAAGTATGGAAAGAGCCCAAATGTCCATCGATGGATGAATGGATAAAGAAGATGTGATACACACACACACACACACACACACACACACACACAATGGAGTATTACTGAGAAATCAAAAAGAATGAAATCTTGCCACTTGCAACTACGTGGATGGAACTAGAGGGTATTATGCTAAGCAAAATAAGTCAGAGAAAGACAAATATCATATGACTTCACTCATATGAGGACTTTAAGACACAGAACAAATGAACATGAGGGGAAGGAAGCAAAAATAATATAAAAACAGGGACGGGGACAAAATATAAGAGACTCTTAAATATAGAGAAGAAACAGAGGGTTACTGGAGGGGTTGTGGGAAGGGGGATGGGCTAAATGGGTAAGGGGCACTAAGCAATCTACTCCTGAAATCATTGCTGCACTATATGCTAACTAACTTGGATGTAAATTTTTTAAAGAAAAAGAATTCTTATCATGTCCAAAAGAAGAAATGAAATAAAATCTCTCATCATTAAAAAAAATTGGGGGGACATGAATAGACACTTCTCCAAAGAAGACACCCAGATGGCCAACCGACACATGAAAAAATGCTCAACATCACTCATCATCAGGGAAATACAAATCAAAACCACAATGAGATATGACCTCACACCAGTCAGAACGGCTAAAATTAACAACTCAGCCAACAACAGATGTTGGTGAGGATACAGAGAAAGAGGATCTCTTTTGCATTGCTGGTGGCAACGCAAGCTGGTGCAGCCACTCTGGAAAACAGTATGGAGGTTCCTCAAAAAACGAAAAACAGAACTACCCTACGACCCAGCAATTGCACTACTAGGCATTTATCCACAGGATACAGGTTTGCTGTTTTGAAGGGACACATGCACCCCCATGTTTATAGCAGCACTATCAACAATAGCCAAAAGATGGAAAGAGCCCAAATGTCCATCGATGAATGCATGGATAAAGAAGATGTGGTGTATATATATATATACAATGGAGTATTACTCGGCAATCAACAAGAATGAAATCTTGCCATTTGCAACTACGTGGATGGAACTGGAGGCTATTATGCTAAGTGAAATTAGTCAGAGAAAGACAAAAATCATATGACTTCACTCATATGAGGACTTAAAAAGACAAGACATGTGAATATAAGGGAAGGGAAACAAAAATAATATAAAAACAGGGAGGGGGACAAAATAGAAGAGACTCATAAATATAGAGAACAAACTGAGGGTTACTGGAGGGAGTGTGGGGGAGGTGGGCTAAATGGGTGAGGGGCACTAAGGAATCTACTCCTGAAACCATTGTTGCACTATATGCTAACTAATTTGGATGTAAATTTAAAAAAAAATTGGCATAAAACTAGGGAAACAATGAGCAGATGATTTGATCTTGCTATTTTTACACCTCCATTTTCACCCTGCCATCCTGACTCAGACATTCCATCTTGGAGAATTTAGCTCCCACACACAAACAATTTTGTTTTGGTGCTGTGCTTAATAAACATTGAAATCAGAAATATACGGGGGAAAAAAAAAGATGAGGATAGGTTGCAGCCATCAATCCCATCTGTGATGTAGACAGCAAGACGTTTTCTCAACAGGTTTATAAATGATACTTTAGCAAAAACTATTCTTATGTTGAGGAACCCCTGAACTGCTTACGGGGTGTAGGAAATGAGGAGTGAGACAGAGAAGCCTGGATGAACGTGGGGCAGATGTAGGAAAAGGGGCAAATGAGGTAACACGGCATCTGCTCCATACGTGATCCAGCCAAGCCCAGGTCCCACTGCCAAGCAGGAAGCTGTGTGTAACATCACAAAAAGGAGTGACCCTTGTCTTGGTGAAGCCAACGGCAGACTGTCATCACAGATTTACCTATCAGGGACCAGGTTCTCTGAACTCCCATCTCTCCACCCAGAGTCAGAGTCTAGAAGACACAGACGCCCCGTTCCTGTTGTGGCCCTGCCATGGGTCCCCGGCTGCTCTACTGTATGGCCTTTTGTCTCCTTGGGGCAGGTGAGTCCTGGTCAGAAAGGAAATCTTTGAGAAAGTGATCTTGTCCTCAGTTTTGTACCTTTATTTTATGGCAGGAATAACAGTCTCCTTGGCTCTGTCTCTGTATTTTCTTTCTCTCTCTGCAGGTCACACGGGTGCCAGGGTCATCCAGAGCCCAAGATACCAGGTTACCGGGATCAGAAAACGAGTGCCTCTGAGCTGTTCTCAGAATCTGAATCATGATGCCATGTACTGGTACCAACAGAAGCCGAACCAAGCCCCAAAGCTGCTGCTCTACTACTATGATACAAACCTTTACACTGAAAAAGACACCTCTGATAACTTCAAAGCCAGCTGGGCTAACTCTTCTTTCTGTTCCCTTGACATCCTCTTGGCTGGCTTCGAGGACACAGCAGTGTATCTCTGTGCCAGCAGCAAAGACACAGAGCTAGGGTGTTACCTCTCCCCTGATCATAAACCTCTCTGTTTCCCAGATCCAAGATCCTTCGACAGACCACCCTCCCACCCTACAGCAATGGTAGGATGTGGGTTTATGGCTGTCGCCATTTCATCTCTACATAGAAGTTGGGCAGAAACCTACAAAAACCACTGACAGTTATGCCAAGAGTGGAAAAGTGGTTACATTAACCCAACATACAGTTTGTGGTATTTTCCCAGGATCACCTTAGTTGCCCATTCTGTTCTCTTCAGTAGATAAATAGGGACTTTTTTTTTTAGGTAGTTTTTTTTGTTAAATATAAGTTGGAGGGGCACCTCGGTGACTCAGTCAGTTGAGCATCCAACTCTTAATTTCGGCTCAAGTCATGATCTCACGCTTCATGAGATTGAGCCCAGTGTCAGGCTCTGTGCTGACAGCTCAGAGCCTGCTTGGGATTTTCTCTCTTCCTCTCTCTCTGCCCCTCCCCTGCTTTCTCAGGCTCTTCCTCTCTTTCTCTCTCTCGCTCTCTCAAAATAAATAAGCTTAGAAAATAGATAATAAAATAAATAAATATAATCTGGAGACATAGAAATATGACAAGGGGCAGGACCAGGCAAGAGATGGCCTCACTGTCATGAATCCTTGCCCTAAGGGAAGAATGTGCCCTCAGAGGCATTGCTGCAATCTCACGGTTTTCTTATTGAGTAGGGAAAATTAGAACTGCTAAAAATTTGTGCCAGATTCAAAGATGAATGAATTGCCTAGGACATGAATTATTCACAATGCATTTAGCTATTTTGCATGATATAGATTTGCCTATAAACCACTTAAGTGGCACGTAGATAGGACACATATCAAAACCCAGCTGCTGTGCTTTAGAAGATATATTAAAATTACTAGATTTGCCCTATGTTTTTAATATTAATAAAAAATATCAAGTCCTGCAGTTTGTTTGAAGCAAAAGGGATTTCTGGAACGTATTTGAACAGCTTTCTGAAAGCCAGTATGTATCTTATGGCCTTTAAGAGACTGAAGTATTCACGATAACCGATCGAAAAAATACATGTATCATCAGTGCAAGAAAGAACCAGCATCCGCCAGCTGCGAGATGCCCGCTTCAGAGGATAGGACGAAGTCCTCGTTTTAATTCTGAAGAACACAAAGATATTCCTACCAAGCAGCGATTTATTACATCTCCTCATAGAGTCATCAACAATGCCATATGCTTCCAACTCTGTAATCAAGAGGCCAAGAGGTACCACCCAGTACCTGATTTGATAACTAAATGAAATTCAGAGAATCTAACCACTGTCATCCGGGCCACCCACCGTCACTACAGTGTTCTGCTTTTCCTCTCTCTTTTGCTCACCACCGTCCGTACTCTGTTCCTCACAAGTGTATCTCTATGCTTCTACCTACATTTCAAAACTTTCTTCTGTAAAATGAGATGTTGGGGTCAGATTTCTTTCTTCATTTGTGGCTCCATGATGAGGCTTAAGAAATTGATGCGTCTTGAGCTAAACAACAAAATAATCCAACCCAGGGGCAGGTTAGAGCTTCTTTAGGCAATGTAAATACCCAACGTCCTCTTGAATAAAGGGAGGCGAGGAATAAAGAGCAAAGACTCACCCCATTCCAGGCTCAGATAACAGCTGAGGCCTCGAGACTGAAGGTGAAGTCCTGCTCCTGGTGACCATCTGATCCTCATACCCAGCCGGGGGAGGAGGAGGTGGAAGGGGGTGGGATTTGCTGTAGCGAAGCAGAGCAGCAGAGAATCCCCTTGTTCTCCAGCAGGTATGGTCGCCCAAAGTGCGAGGGCACACTTAGGGAAGGAGAAAATGAAAATCTTTGGAGAATCTGATAGAAAAAACCGGAAAACATACACAAGGGAACGTTGGATGCTCTGGGAGTTTAAAGAGAGTTGGGGAGCAAGCATGAATGTTGTATTTTATTTCATTTTCTTTTCTTTTCTTTTCTTTTATTTTATCATTTCATTTCACTTCACTTCATTTCATTTCACTTCACTGTGGCCGGAACACCTAACATGAGATCTACCCTTTTAAAATCTTGTGTAATGTGGTGTGTGCATACAATGGTATGTTATTTAGCCTTAAAAGAGAACAAAATCCGCCATACATGACCTTGAGGACATTATGCTGAGTGAACTAAGCCGGTCACAGAAGGACAGGCACTGGACAATCCCACTTATACAGGAAGGAGGGCTTTCTTTCTGGGCTCATGGCTCATCCCAGCCTCAGCCTTCTTTGATCTCTCCCACTTATGCTCAGGGCTTTCATTTCCCAACAGCCAAATGAGGACATCTTGTAAGAGCAGAACCTTGTGAAGATCCAGTGCCATCAGATGGATTTACAGGCACCAACTGTTTCCTGGAACTGACAGTTCCTTCAGCACAGCTGACTACTGACTGTGACCCCTATCGAGGCCCCACACCCACCTAAGAAAGAAGCATTATTTCAGGTCCTCCAAGAAGTAGATGCCAAGGCGGGTCAGTCATGCAGGAGACGTAGCGGAGAAAATGGGGCAAAAGATGGAGGAGGCTGGGAGGCCATCAGGTCGCGGTGTGGATCCGACCCCTGTAAGGAGAGAGGGAAGGAAGAAGGAAAAGAGGAAGAAAAAGGGAGGGAAGAGGCAGGAAGTAAAGTAGGTCTTGGGCTACCGCACAATTCCAAGCAAATCTCAGCCAGGCTGGAGGGTCCTTAGGTCAAAGCAGAGCTATGCAGCTCTGTGACTTCCCTCCCCCCGTGGACGGAAACTCTGCATCAAGCCTCCAGAGCTGGGGCTAGGGACACTGGCCCACTTCTTCTGGAAGGACACTGCTGCGCTCTGAGGGGTCGCTGGGTGGGGTGGTAAGCCCTGGTCTTTTTGACTCGCATCTCCCACTGTGGAACCCCCACGCTATGAGCAGGCCAGAGTGAGGAATATTGGGGCCTAGCAGTCTTGGCCTGCTGTTTCTGGAATAGAGGGTCTACCCCACGAGTGGGCGCCGGGTGGAGAAAGGGAACCCAGACCCCTGAGCTGCAGTTGCTATGGAAAAGAGTTTCTGCATCATGGAGCTGGTGGGGATGAGAATTGCTCAGCCTGTGCCTCCTCAGGAAAAGCTGCGGGAGCCCTGTGTCCTCGACCACATCCGCAGAGCATAGAGCGTCCATCACCCTGAGCTTAGGTTGATGCAGGAGGCAGAGAGGCTCAAATGCCATCGAGTCTCACTGGCCCCACTGAGATTTCAATTTTCTCCAAGAAGTGTTTCTTCATTCGCCGTATGCTCTTGGGACAATGTTCAGAGGCTTTAAATGGTTGTGGTTTTTTAAACTTTATTTATTTTTGAGAGAGAGACCACAACTGGGGGAGGAACAGAGAGGAAAGGAGAGAGAGAGAGAGAGAGAGAGAGAGAGAATCCCAAGCAGGCTCCGCGCTGTCAGCACAGAGCCTGAGGCAGTCACGAACTGTGAGATCATGGCCTGAGCCGCAATCAAGAGTCAGACACTTAACCAACCGAGCCACCCAGGTGCCCTTTAAATCATTGTTTCTAACTTTTCAGAAGTTAGGTTTGTTTGTTTTTTTTTTTCCTCTGGGAAGAGGGTATTCAAATCTCGTGCTGCCATTCCAGAAGCGCATCTCAACCCCAGTAAAACTGTACGTGAACAGGTGGCCAGCCCTGGGCTGTCAGTTACCACCTCTTGCTCTAACCAAATTTTGTCCTACCGCAAAAGCATGGCCACTCTGGGGATGCCAGTGACTCATTTCTGGGGTTTGTCTCTGGTGCTTCTTAAAGTTTCATCTCACACAGACACGGGTTCCTGTTAGGACGAAACTTCATTACGATCCCCCTGAACATTTCCGGGGTTCTTTGGGTATCTTCCACCTCCCTGGTCGTCCTCCTCATGAGTTCCACTTGCTGTGTGGCCTCTAACATTCAACCTCTGTCTCCTCAACTCAGAAAATTTGCCATGCTCAGTGTCTCCCCCTCGCCATCTGCGGACATCGTCTTATTCTTTCTCGCTTTAGAAAAATCCCAGTCCTGAGCTGCCTGTTTTCCAGCGACCGAGTACAGTTCTTTCATCTACTCCGCTTTGTGTCTTCACTTGTACAGAGCAGCACACCCGAGACGATTGGGTTCTGTGAAGTGATCACGTGACAGAGTAGCTGGTAACGTGGGGGAGGCAAAGCCTCAGAGGAAGCCACCTGCCTCTCTTTGGTCCTTGATGCGGCCATGTGCCTCATATTCACCTGCCCGTGGTCCTTTGTCCCCTGAGCGCAGGTAAGCCCCTTCTCTGAACTCCTCAGCCCCCCACCCCCCAGCTCTCAGCCTTTGGTTCCTGTCACCGGACTCCCTCCGGGGCCAAGCCTCCAACTTCAGTCTGCTTGCTTCACAGGCCCCCTCGATGCAGAAGTCACCCAGACTCCAGGACACCTGGTCAAAGGAAAAGGACAGAGAGCAACGATGTACTGTGTCCCGATAAAAGGACACAGTTACGTTTTCTGGTATCAGCAGATCCCGGCAAAAGAGTTCAAGTTCTTGATTTCTTTCCAGAATGAAATCGATAAAATGGGGACGCACAAGGAGGGATTTTCAGCCAGGTGTCCCCGAAACTCACCCTCTCGTCTAGAGACCCAGACTACGGAGCTGCAGGATTCAGCCATGTATCTGTGCTAGCAGTGAATCCGCAGTGTTAAATATTAGCTAATCTTAATACACAAACATTCTGGGCCCAGCTAAGGAAGCAGCTGGCATATTAGGGTGGAAGGAAATAACAGAAACTAACTAGAGCTAGCTTAAACCAAATGGGAATTTATCACAAGGCTACATGTATGTCCTATAGAACCCAAAACAAGAACACAGCAATTTCTCAGGAACAAACTGGAATGAAATCTTTGGGACCCTGACATGGCTGATTCGACAACTCTTATTTCTTTTTCCACCTTGTTGGCCCCATTGTTCTCCCCATTAGTAGAAATTGTCATTTCCAGTTTTTTGATCTCATAGAGCAAAAGACTATAGATTGAGATGTCGGTCTTCCAGGGACGTTGGGAAGGACCAACTTGACTTTCTCTCTTGTAAGACCACAAAGCCTAAAAACAGAAAACAAACGGACCCTGTTTTAGTTAAGAACATGCTCTTGGAAAATTCAACATTAGCCGAGGGGGTCAGTTGGAACAACATGGCAGCTGGAAGCCTATCACTCTGGCCTTATGGATCAAAGATTTCAAAGACAGGAATTCTCCAGTTAGGGGCAGGACACCCAATGGGTGTCCATCACAGAAAAGTAGTGCCAGAAACAGAGAACCTAGGAAAGAAGAAGGAATGTGAAAGGGGACCAAGATCCTTAGTTAGTCAGACCAAATGAAGACTCTGGTTAATTTGTTTTTAAGGAGTTAAATCCAGGTAATACAAAAAGCACATTAATTTTCAGTATGACAATTCAAACCTAAGTCGCTAATTAGTAGAAGCTAATTCTATGGAGCTGAGGGAGGGGACAGATTAACCTCAGCGGGAAAACACCTGATGTGCAGACAATTGAAAATTGATGTGCAGACAATTGAAAATCCCCAGTTATGTGATCCAAATTGTACTGAGGAACAATGCATTCAACACCAATGGGAGTAAAGGAGATATTATGGTGTCTACTCTACCTTGGAAGGTCATTGCAGGTACTTAGAACAGACATAGAATTCAAAATATGTCTGTTAAAATTTGATGATCCATCCTGTTTATAAAACTGTTCATTTCCCCACCACCTACCACTCAGCTTTAGAGAAGTTTATATATTCTCTCTAGTCATGTCTGTTCTTTTTTCAGTATAAGCTGAACCTGGTTTTCTTACCTCCGGAAGTCCAAATTTACTTCATCTCTCAAACAAACATCATTCTGACCCTTTGAAACAGAAGCTCTCAACTTCCTGGTGTATCCAATGTTATGGCTTCGGTTCTCTTTCCAGCACTCAAACGTGAGTCCTCCTTAGTGTCCATTTCTGTTCCTCTCCAAGTAACAACACGCAATCCATCACCCACACCTTTGCTTTCATCACAGAGGAATCATTCCTTCGGGGGCCTCTTCAGCTTTTTCATGGAATAGTCCCATTCTTATGAAACTGTTCTCCTAAATATTAAAACTATAAACTTGCTGGATCGAAGGCTTATTTTCATTTCTCTGCCTACTTGATCTCTTTGAAGCATTTGACAATATTGACTGTCCCCTAAACCCTGGAAACTTCTCTTCCCTCGACGTCACTCACCTCACTTTCAATTAGGTTTCTTATTTCCCACCTCTTCTTTTTTGTAAATGGAGTTTCCAGAACTTAAGTCTATCCATTAGTTATTCCTAGTCCTAGGAAAATTCTTGTTCTATTTAAGTTTTAACATTCTAATCTAACTCATTAAGAGGTTTTCTCTTTTGTTAGTCTGGGATATTCAAAATGTCTACTCAGAAGGGATTGAAACTGTTGTCTGAAACAACTTCTTTCTTTGGTATCACCCGAGGGACAGGTCACACAGGTATATTCTAGGACAGGATCAGAATTTCGAGTCAAAATTTCCAGAAGTGGGTTATAGGAATACATTTCATCTTATCAAGCCCCTGGTGGGGTTTTGAGAACTTCTGCCAATCTTTATAAGATTGGTAAAATAGCGGGGCGCCTGGGTGGCGCAGTCGGTTAAGCGTCCGACTTCAGCCAGGTCACGATCTCGCGGTCCGTGAGTTCGAGCCCCGCGTCAGGCTCTGGGCTGATGGCTCAGAGCCTGGAGCCTGTTTCCGATTCTGTGTCTCCCTCTCTCTCTGCCCCTCCCCCGTTCATGCTCTGTCTCTCTCTGTTCCAAAAATAAATAAACATTGAAAAAAAAATCTTAAAAAAAGATTGGTAAAATAGCAACTCTAGCACGGTGCTCCATCATTTTCTTCTTGTTCTTGCTATTCTTACTCTCTTCTCCCCTTTTCCTCTTCCTCTTGTGCCTTCCTTGAACTTCTCTTTTCCTAAGAATGCTCAAGTGGGTTTGGAGCCTGTTTACATCATCCATGTACCAAAATAAACATGGGGTCATACGTTTGGACCAATGATTCCCTCTGTGGAAGGTGCCCTGAGACTGTGGGTGTTCCCAGGGACTGTGATTTCATGGCTAGATTCTACCTTGTGGGGCTAAGGGAACCCAAAACTTCCATTCCTCTCTGCTGCTGTGCATCAGAAACCATTGCTGGGGAAGCTTGTCCTGCCAGTGATCTTGCCTTGGATACCTGGGGGCAAGTGAGCTTGGGAGTGTGTGGGAATTTGTGTAGAAGATGTTTTCCCAGGCCCACTCTCTATGGCTTCCGTCTTCTCCCACAGGACACACAGACCCTGCAGTCAGCCAGATCCCCAGCCACAGGATCACAAAGACGGACAGAAGGGAATCTGAGATGTGATCCAATTTTTGGTCATATACTTGTTTACTGGTGCCCACAGACTCTGAAGCAAGAGATGGAATTTCTGATTTCCTTCCAATACCAAAACACTGCAGCCGAGTTGGGATGCCCAAGGAACGACTTTCGGTTGAAAGACCCAATGGGACATATTCCACCCTAAGACCCATCTTGCCGCAGAGCAGGCGGACTCAGCTGTGATAGCCATGCTGGTGCATTGGAATAGTGCAGGTGAACCAGTTCTGTCCAGCGTGCAAACTCACTGGCTCTTCTCGTCTCCCCTGAGCTCTAGGGAGGCATTTGAGAAGGCCACTTCTCAGTCTTGTGCTTCAGAAGAAAGAAAGAGGCAGGTGGATAGTTGTGGCTCCACGTGCGAGCAGGAGAGGGCAAGGCTACAAATTAGCTCTTAAATTATCATAGTGGGCATGCCATGCTTCAGGACATGGGCTTCGGAAATGCCTAAAAAGAACACAGAATTGGGTAGTCTGTGGATCTCAAGTTCAGAATAAAGCCCCCATTCCCTCCCCCAAACTTTTTTGAACTACAGAAACTGGATATTTGAAGTTGATATTAACTTACCAAAACTCTAAGAAATTACTACTGATTTTTATCTCAAACGCGACCCCTCTGAAGACTCTTTCCCTCTACAGACACGAATGACTTCCTTGTTTGTGGAACAACAGAGTGTTGACCGCTAGAGATTTATTCTCCTCCTTTTGTCACAGATCTGCCTCCCCCACAAGACTGACTGTCTCTCCAGGGCAGTGATTCAACGGGGAATAACGTGAGGGAACAGCAACCACAAACCTCTAGAAAGGAAGGAAACAGGAGAAACACTGATTAGTAATCCCCATTCAGAGACTCTTCAGGAAATTCAAGTCTCAAATCCAGGGGATCATGGAGTTTGACTCTGTGATTTCGTACACTCAGTGGGTCCCTTCTCTCTCTTGGAGATCTTGGATCCACAGACAGTGGAATGAGAGTCAGGATACCTGC